GATTTGGGGGAACTAAATAATGACTTGAAAGTTTGTCTTTATTGCATCCATCTGCTTGGTTAGGATAAGGAGCAGTTCCTTATGACATATGTATGATGGCACATCTGCCGCCGGGAATCCCGAGAGTGCCGGCCCTCTCTAGTTCCTTTCTATTAGGCAATAGAACAAAACAACAATAACTATAAAGTACTCCTGTTCTTTTTAACAATAACTATGGTTGCCTTTGCCAGCTCAAGTTCTCAACGCTGCAGGCTAGATGAAAAATCCACACAATCATGGCACCGTCCCATATGTGTTTAAAAATATTACAATATTTATAATGGAGAGGTCATCGCTCGCTACCCAGAGGTTCCAGGGAAGAGACAGCAGTGAGCTACAGTACAAACGCACCAGACTCAAAAGAAAAAGGAAGCAGAGAAACATCATTTGAAAGGCTGAGCAGCAATTAAAACCATGAAGACTTTGATGCAGGGAATTTCAGTAGATTGAGTCTGAGGGCCTGTGCTGACTGCCACTGAAATCAGTGGCAAAACTCCCTAGCCTTCTTGAATACACAAATTGGGCCCATGCTGTGCTGTGATAGACACCTGGTTTTCTATCCAAGGGGATTGAATGACTGTTTCTAGAGAGGACTGTAGGAGAGGGATAGCTCAGTGGTTTGCGCATTGGCCTGCTAAACCCAGGGTTGTGAGTTCAATCTTTGAGGGGGCCATTTAGGGATCTGGGGCAAAAATCTGTCTGGGGATTGGTCCTGCTTTGAGATTAATTGAGATGTAGTAGTATGAATACTGCATTGTAGGATAGGTAAAGGATGCAGGGATCTGATCCTGTTGGGGCCAAGCAGCCTCTTCAAATTGTGCTGTGAAAATTATCTCCTTTGCCAGACACCACCTGGGAAACTCAAGAGATTGTGGGGAGGCAGGAAATTGGACTTACCCTAACCCATGATGGTCCCTTCTGGCCTTAAAGTCTATGCATCTAAATCTATGAAATGGTCAGTTCAAAATCACCGGGCTCTACTCAGAGCAGAAGTGGGCATTGTGAGACTCAAATGACAAACAATTGGGAGTGGGGAACATGCTGTCCCATAGAAACTGCTTCCAGAAGAACTGAATCTTGTCCAATAAGAACACTCCCTGCAGGTTAATGCTGGTGCACTGCTATCATGATCATTCAGGCATTTTGCTTTTAGTCCCTCTTCATAGCCGCCCTCCCTTTGAAATCCATTCAGAAAAACATTGCAAGAATGTTGATTGGTCTCTGCTGAACTTGCACAGAGGAAACAGCTCGATGTGGCACCGAAACCAACATATTTAGAGTAATGACTTGAGGGCAGGATGAATGAACAGATGAATATCCCATCTTTGGCCTGCTGAGAAACTAACTCATGTCGGACACAAGCGTGGAATTGATGCTTCTCTTCCTTTTACGCAGTTCGGCCCCCGCCCAATGTGTGAGTGAGGCCGTATTGACTTGGGTTGGGGTTGGGGCGGGCTTTTTTCACTCTCATCCAGGGACCAGCCGGTTGAACTCACCGCTGTCTCTCTCCTCACCCGTCCTCTATTTTGGGCCCCTTTTAAATGTCAAAACTAAGCTTCCCATCCTTCTAAAATAATTATGGGCCTTATCCAGAACCAGTGAAGAATTTCCATTCACTACAGTGGACTTTGGATCAGGCCCTCGGTTACTAGCACTTCTCATTGCACAGGTCACCTTCGCAACAGATATTTAAGAGTTTCTTACTATTATTTTTCTGAAAACCAAACGGTTTTCATGTTCCCCACCTTAAAACCCCCAAGCCGAGCAGTGGGGCCCCATAAGCCCACAACCACTAGTCCCCTGATTTTTGTGTCTCCCCCCGGACCAATTCTTGCCTGTAGAGGCTGTATTGGTTTTCCCACTACTGGAACTAGATCTGCTGTAAACTCCACCCTGACAGCCGCTGCAAGAGGAACAACAGTGTTGGGCTGCCAGGATTTGAAGAAGAAGTTTCCTCAGAGGTATTCCCACCCCGGTCACTGACATCAGCCTCCTTCATCCCCTGCAAAAGGAATCCAGCAGTTGGACACTTCCCCACCCTCCTGTAAAAAAAGAAAAGAAAAGAAGACCCATTCAGGCCTCCCCCAAAATGCACAAATTCCATATTTTCCCCTGCTTCTCAAATCCACCCTTCCATTCCTCACCCCCATCCTCTAACCTCTCATGCTTTCCCGTCCCCCCAGTATGCTCAAACTCCTCTAGGAACTCCCCCAGCTCCACGTGGTCCCTGGTAGCAGCCGCAGAGCAGGGCCATCCCTAGCCATTTGGGTGCCCTACGCAGTCCCTCCGTGGGGGGACTGTGTGGCGCCCCAGCCCCCCCCCAGGGTCTGGGAGACAGGAGCAGTGGGGGGCACTTTTGGGGGCCCCACAGGCCCAGAGTTACCCGGGGGATTAACGGGGGGCCAGGAGAAGCCCGCTCCACTTCCTTCACCCCAGCCTCAGCCATGTCGCTCGGGGGAGGGGGGTTTGGGGTTCCCCTCACCGGCAGCAGCGGGAAGCGGAGCAGCCCGGCCCCAGCCCACTCTACTCCGCCAGCTCCCAGCCGCGGCGCTCGCTTCCCGCCGCCGGTGAGAGCCGGGGGCGGTCCTTTCCCCAACCCGAGTGACATGGCCGGGGCCGGGGCAAGGGAAGCGGAGCGGGCTGGGGCCACGTCTCTCTGCTTCCCGCCACCGGTGAGTATGGGGGGCAGTCCTTTCCCCGCAATCACCGGCGACGGGAAGCAGAGTGCCGCGGCTGGGAGCTGGCGGAGTAGAGCGAGCTGGGGCTGGGTTGCTCCGCTTCCCGCCGCTGCCAGTGAGTGCGGGGTCGCTGGGGGAAGAGGTGGAATGGGGGCGGGCCGGGGGCGGAGCAGGGGGGAAGGGTAAGAGGCAGGGTGGAGGGAGTTATCAGGGGCCCCACCCCGCCCTAGGGACGGCCCTGCCCCTTGCAGGGGGACTGGCCGAGGGATAGGGCTGGTCGCTGGGGCTGGGGCTGGGGCTGGTGGGTACGCAGGGGGGTACGCTGGTGCTGGTGGGGCTACGCGGGTATGCAGCACGCAGCTGCCTAGGGCACCATGAAATTTCATGGTGTCCTAGGCAGCTGCGTATGCTGCGTATGCCTAAGGATGGCCCTGCCGCAGAGTTCCCCTTATGCTCCCACACAGGCGTGCAGTCTGAGGCACAGCCTAGCCCGTAAAAATGACATAATGTCCGTGGCTTCAGTCTATGAAGGCTCAGGGGCGAGGATGCAAACTCCAAGCACAAGAGCACGCAGCTGGGTAACATTAAAGATGATGTCCTGTGGTGACGAGATATTAAAGGCTTGATCCTTAACTCTGAATTTCCATCCCTCCTTGGGCTCAGGCTTTTCTTTTAATGTAGAATTTTACTGGAATTTCCAGGGGGATTTTTCTGTTTATGTTTTATTTTAGTGCCGATGCTGAATCATCTAGGAACTGAGGCTTGGTTTTGGGTATCGATGTGCTTTTATAAATTATCCACATGCTGAGACTGGATTGAGTTCAAAGTGAACCTTATACCTATTTTTTTTTCTTATTATTATTTTTGGTTAACGTTCCTTCAATCCAATCCCAGTCATCTTCAATGGAACTAAAAGTATCTGGCACGTCACGATTCTGAGCCATTCAGAGTTCCTTAGTCTCTGGATCTCCTGATCTCCCTGCCACAGAAAGGTCCTTGTGGCTGCTGTTCTTCATTTTACAGAGAGTCATAGATCAGTTTGCCTTAATTTACCATTACATGCTATGGTGTCTGGAACTAATATAAGTTGCCATGCAAGGCAGATGGCTCCTGGTGGGCAGCTCGCCTCTGGATCCTTTCCCGTGTCTCTCCATCCTTTCTATACTTTGGTGACCAAAACTGGACACAGTACCAGCTGAGGGCTAACCAGCACTGAGTAGAGCGGTACTAGCATCTCCTACAATTTGCAAGCTATGCCTCGGGTAATCCAACACAAAATTGCCTTTGTTTTTTGGGGGTTTGCAACAGCATGACATGGCTGATGTTGAGGTTGTGATCCACCACAACTCCCCGGTCCTTCTCAGCTGTGCTGCTGCCAAGCCAGTTATCCCCTATTCCATATTTGTGCATTTGGGTTTTCTACCCTAAGTGTAACACCTTACATTTGTCTTTGATTAATTTCATTTTGTTGTCTGTAGCCCAGTTCTCCAATATATAAAGATCCCTTTGAAGTTTACCTCTATCCTCCCCTCTAGCTTTGTGTCATCTGCAAATCTGATCTGTGTGCTCTCTATTCTTACATCTGTTGTAGGAGCAGCAGTGATCTGTATGCTCTGTATAACCTGTATGTTCAAAAGGTCTGTTACACCTTCCCCCTCTTTTGTCTCTTGTCCCTCTCTGAATACCTGGGAAGTGGCTTTCCCCCTCTCCCTCCCTCCTGGAATGCTTGTGGGATGAATGGGCTGCTTGAACAGCTGGAAGATCAGAAGAGCTCTCAGGTAGACAAGGTGTCTGGGACAATAATTAGGCAGCAATCACATACCCAATGCATGGACACTGCCCGAGGTGGAGTGTGACCAACCAGACGCGGCCAAGTCATCTCTAGTCGCAGGCTATGAGAAGCAGGTCCTTAAAAGGGGAAGGGGCCATGTGCTCAGCAGTGCACTCACAAGCTTGTACCCAGGGCCGGCTCCAGGGTTTTTGCCGCCCCAAGCAGCCAAAAAAA